TAGATGGCTGGTTGCTAAGAACTTAAGATAGGGTGAATGCTAAGAAAGAACATAAAGGAGAAACTTTGGGTGGATATAGAAGTCTTTTTTCATTGTGGTTATGGTTATAGAAGTGTACACATTTGTCAAAACTCGTCAAACTGTACAATTAAAATGAATACGTTTTATTCTATGTAAATTATACTTAAAAAAATCTGAAACCCAACCTTGATCCAGAGTAGTCCTTAGTTAAATTGAGGTAATAATCCTCATACTCTATAAAAGAAAAAAAGATGCTAATTAATAACATGAATTTATATCCAAAGACACTCTGATATTCTTAACTTGAACGGAAATTTTAATTACTTTACCTAATACTATTAGTATATTATAATTTTAAAATAAACATCCGATTTCTGGAAAAATTTTACTTCTAGTCATTATTCTGATAACATTCCAAAAAATTCTTCTTGTAGATCTTCTAATAATTGTGAAAAATGAAAAAGAATTTAAAATAAATCAGAAGGGACTAAATAAACTGCTGGATAACCATAGAACTACATTTTTAAAACAGTGAAACATTGTAAAGAGCATAAATTTACAAGAACAAAGTTTGATTTAAACTCTGATGCTACGCTAATACAATGGATTATAATTGAATAAAATTAAAATAATTCATGTCAGTAATTATCAGGTTAAGAATAGATTCACATATATCTAAGTACAAAATAGCATGTGACAGATATACATCTCAATATGTTTTTTAATTAATGTTCATACATTTGTAAATATTACATGTGATATATAGGGGCATATTTACAAGAGGAAAAGTATGGAAAGATATGTTTCAAAATACTCACATTCATTATTTTTGTAAAAGTTATTTTCCTTGTTTTTTGCCCAATATTTTTCTATTTTTGTTTATTTTACCAAATGTCTTAGAAATATGTAATTTATTCATTTTATAAATATTTATAAAAGAGAAAAAGTAGATCTATGATCTTTTGAATACCTTACATGATAAGGATTAATTAAAAGAAACACAACTAGCTATTTTATTAGACTCTTATTATTTTCCTACCAGTCTCTTTGAAGTGATTGTGATGTTTTCGCTTTTCTCTAAAGGCTGTGTCCCCACTGTTACTGTGTTAAGTTCCTTTTTTTCCCCCAAGTTCATTACACAAATGATTCATTAGTGATTTTTGAACATGGTCACCAAGGTCCCATTTGTTAATAAACAACTTTGTTGCAAACTTGGCAAATAAACGAGCTTGAAAATGGAAAATTCTCTCCCTAAGAGCAGATAATTCAGAACGGCACCTCTTCTAAAGCTACTGGAAGTGTCTCTTTACTAGATTTTTTTTTTTTTTAGTGATATAGAGTAAAATAAAATATTTCCTGGGCTTATGGCAGCACTTCCATCTTGAAGAAGTTTATACAATTGACTGAAGATAGAAACTCAAGTCATTCAAGGCTTCTGTAACCGTGGGTATGGATTCAGTTGGTAATGAGCAGAAACTGTCATGACATTCATTTTCAAATTTGTAACTGTGCAAATGCAGTTAAACAACTCATCGAAGGAGGCTATGACTAACTGCTAGAAGTATAGATATGATAGATTCTTTCTTTTCTGTTATATTCTCTTTTGGTAAGTTTGGTAAGATTTTCCCTGATTGTATAAAACTGAGAGATGTGAATTTTAATGTGAATATCAATGAAATATTATTTTTAGAATGTATTTTTTTATTCACTGATATTGTTTTTATGCAAGAATAAGTAGGAAGTCATCTAAAGGTAGTATAACTTGAGAGACACAAAGAAGCAATACCTCCCTAACAGAAAAAATAGATTGACAACTTGAGTAACATTGCATCATCTCATTGGAAAACAAAAATTTTAAATCTTTTATATATAATATAAACAGTAATCAGTCAATACTAACCCAGAAAAATTCATTACTCAAGACCTGCATTGTAATATAGGAGTTCTCACGGAAGCATGGTTTTAATGACTGGAAGAAAAAAAATAATTTTATGACTGAATACTACTTAAAGTGAATTGGGCTGCATAGTTGCCACAGAGAAGCACAGGGAGGGTGGAGGGTTGCAGAAATGATCTTTTGGTGCATCTCAGGATGATCCGCGTGAATTTGAGGTGCAGACCTACATTCCATGGGAGCATCTTAGCTCTCAAGCAAACCAGGAGCAAGTCCATATTCCATTTCTGTGATAGTGACTCTCATTCCTGAGATTCAATTCTGAAACTTACACGTATGATCAGAGCGGAGACTGACCCTATCTCAATATGGAGGGAATATTATAAAGTAATATAGTGAAAAATTTCTCATAACAAACAAATTGGAGTCTCCAGCACAAATTGTAGGAATTTCTTTTTTGGGAAACACTGATTCAGTTTTTTAAATGTTTGAAAATCTGAGGTAGTATTTGGTTTGCGAAAGTTGAGAAAAAAAATCTGTAGAAAACATATTGCCAGAAATTTAGACGGTCAAAGTCCCTGGCTTCTGGTTTTCATACCCTACTGAGAGATACCTCGGGAAAGCCAAAGCAATATTAATGAACATACAACTATTCCTCTGATTAGCCAATATAGCAGAGAGGGGAAGGCAACTATCACTTTTTCAGGAATAAAGGTAATGGATGTAAACTGAGTAGTGCTTCTTCCAAAAGAGACGAAACTAGACAGAAAAAAAAAAAAACTTCAAAAAGGGTCAAAAAGCAAAAGCTGTGGTACATATATACAATGGAATATTACTCAGTCGTAAGAAGAGATGAAATACTGCCGTTTGCAACAACATGGATGGACCTCGAGATAATCATGACAGACAAAAAAAGTTGGAAATCATATGATATCACTTATACGTGAGATATAAATCTAAAAGCAACAAATGAACAGGACAAACAGACTCATGGACATGAACTACAGACTAGTGGTTACCAGAAGGTAGGGGGTGGTGGAGAAGGGGGAAGGTAGACAGTTTAAGGGGGTCAAATATAGGGAGTAGGAGGAAGGCAAAGTAGGTAAATGGGAGCTGAAGGAAACTGGACTTTGGGTGGTAAACACACAATAGAATATACAGATGTCAAATTATAATGTACACCTGAAAATCATATAATTGTATTAACCAATGTTATAAATGAAGAGTTTTAATAAATAGGTTTTAAATACACTTGTTAAAAATAAGGATTTGATAACTTCCAACTAATCTGTATAAATAACTAACTGACCTCAGGGAAAATGGAAAAGTTTCCTAAACAAATTTCAACACAATATTTACACGATTGTTAGATAGGATTGAAAACATAGTAAAATAGAAATAACAATTGCTCTGAATAACACCCAGCTCCTATATCAGAGTTTCCTTAAGTTCCAAAAAATATAAACATTTAACTTAAAAACCAATGACCAAGTATTTACATCTAAAATAGAACTGGAACTTGAGAAACAGATGAGTAAAGGAAAAGATAGTAGTATTAAAGAAAAATTTATTGCAGGTAGATAATCTAAGTAAGGCGAATTGTTTAATATGCAGCCAAATCTATTAGTCTGATTGTAAGAAACTCAAGGAAAGTAACAGGAGGGAAGTGTGGACATTTTTATGTTTGAGGTGTATTTGACTGTATCCTGAGATTCTTAAGAGCAATTATTTTGAGGGATTAAGCAATTAGGAGTATAAGAAAATATCCACCAAGTGTGCTTGTTAAAGTAAAGAAACTAAAAGAAGAGACTGAGGAATATAAACATGATAGAGACAAGAAAGAAGAGAAACACCCAGGAAGTAGAAATAAAAATGTGGGAGGAAAAAATGTAATGTTATGATAAATTATGAGAGAACGTTATAAATAGTGTGTGGTGAAAGTACACATTCCACGAAGAATTCTGCCACTATTTTATACCAAAAAAAGAGCTCTTTGATAAACTTTGGCAAATATGGTTTCATTATCATGGTGGTGGCAAAAGTGTGATTACCACATGGTGAAGAATGAATTGATGGTGAATAACAACAGGAAAATAGCGAGCATATATTTATTAGTTATTATGAGCTAGGTACTTTTCTAGTATTCAGACACATATAAACTTAAAAATTTAAAAATAGCATTTAAAAAGATACTATTACTATTTCTACTTTATAGATGATAAAACTGAACCACAGCAAAAGCACACAGTACTTGGGGAATGTGACTTGTAGTCAAATCTGATTTTTTGTACTTAAGGACATTGGTACCGAGATGTTTCAATCTTAGCTAAACAGTTTAAAAGGTAAAAACGATTTGATGTCATAAAATCCTGTGAATGTCACACCCAACTTATCTTAAAATTCTGAACAACATATTTCTCACCAAAATACTCTCTATGTTCTGCACAACAATAGAATGACTAAATGACTAAAAATATTAGAAAGAAACTCATGAGAAAAAGATGGTAAGAAATGAATAAGGAGAAAGTTGTTTAGAGAATAAAACATAAGTTTAAAAATATGAAATAATGCTAGAACGCAAAATCTTAGGCAATGGAGATGGAAAGCCTACAATAGTAAGCCCCAAAACATTTGTGTTATATTTGCACTTTCTCAATGACCAACTACAAAGAAAAACATTAAAGTTTTAAGAAAGATTTGGCTTTAGGATTTAGCTTCAAAATGTAACTACACGAGTAATTCCAACCCAGTGTGTGCTGATAAAAGTAAAACATAAATTGGGAATAAAAAGCAGTGAGAAAATGATTTATACTATGTTCGAGTGTGGTATAGATAAAGTAATCTGACTTTTTAAAAAATAAACCTTGAAATTATGAAAACACACCACTGTGGAACCTAATAATAAAACATAATAAGATTTATAACTAAATTTCAAAAACTTGCATGTCGAGTCTCTTTGAATAGGTTGTTGAGCAATTAATTTTTGCTGCGTGATGTTAATAACACTCACCTCATATCAAATATCTCTAAATTATAAATCCAGAATGAAGAGCAGTCAGGATTTGATGAGTAGAAGTCAGAAGTTATGATGAGAAACCAAACAGTCACAACGTTTACCCTGCTGGGACTGACGGACAACCCACAACTGAAGGTTGCGATTTTTATCTTTTTATTTCTCAGCTATATCTTGAGTGTAACTGGGAACCTAACAATCATCTCCCTCACCTTCATAGATTCTCACCTTAAAACTGCCATGTACTTTTTCCTACAAAATTTCTCCTTCTTAGAAATCTCATTTACATTGGCTTGTATTCCCAAATATTTGTACAATATCTCAACGGGTGACAAGACAATCACATATGACTATTGCGCCATTCAAACATTTTTTATAGACCTCTTTGGTACTACGGAATTTATTCTTCTGGCCACCATGTCCTATGACCGATATGTGGCCATCTGCAAACCCCTACATTACGTGACCATCATGAGTCACAGGGTCTGTAGAAGACTTATCCTTTGGTGCTGGGCAGTTGGCTTGTCGATCATAATTCCTCCACTCAGCCTGAGTCTAAATCTGGAATTCTGTGACTCTAATGTTATTGATCATTTTTACTGTGATATAATCCCCCTCCTAGAGATCTCATGTTCAGAAACATGGCTCATAGAGCAGGTGATCACAGTCTGTGCTGTGTTGACCTTTATCATGACCCTGGTATGTATACTTCTATCCTATGTATACATTATCAAGACTATCTTATAATTCCCTTATGTCCAGCAAAGAAAAAAGGCATTTTCTACCTGTTCTTCCCACATGATTGTCATTTCCATCACCTATGGAAGCTGTATTTTCATCTATGTTAAACCTTCATCAAAGGAATCAGTGGTTATTAATAAGGCTGTGGCAGTTCTCATAGCTTCTATCGCTCCTATGCTGAACCCCTTTATTTACACCCTGAGAAACAAACAAGTAAAACAAGCTTTCAATGACTTGGTCAAAAGAATAACATTGTTTTTAAAGAAGTAAGGGAGTTTGCTAATATGGAAGAATCAAGTTTGCATCATCAAAAAGATCAGACCTCCCTAAGCTATATCTTTAAGGTTTTAATCCTTTCCTTCCTGGCAAGGAAGTTTTATTGAGATTCAATTTCTCAATAAGAAAATATAATACATTTCGAAGAAACAAAAGAATGACTTTACATTATCTATGAATTGGTATATGGAACTAAATATATAAATATAATAATTGTGAATGTTCCCAAGGAAAACCCAGTGATACCAGGAGAATGGACTTAAAAATGCCACTAGTCACTACCAATTACTTGTAATAGATGCAGGAACTCATATTAAATATTGGGCCATCTGGAGCTGCAGGTGTTTTTTCAATCAAATATTAATTATATGCTCTGCCCTAAAAGCTTCTTAAGGTTGATGCATTAGATTACTTTTATCAATATGATGTAGGTTCAGAGATCATTGTCTCTTTCTAAGTTTTTCTACTAAATTATATGAGCTTTCATCTGATTATAATAATTAATTTTGATTTTCACATACCTAGTGATTCATTGTAAATGATTTTTCCAGCTTCTTGCATAACTCTTTGCAGAAAAATCTACATCATAACTTCTGTAATTACAACCCATTTTCCACTTGAAAAATCTGTTCTATTTCATTGAGATTAATTATTTAGAAATTAAATTATCAGATGACTGGGTTTATGTTGATCACTCTGACTAAAGCAATAAAATTGCTGAAAGTTTCTTATATGTACAATCAAAGGAAGAAGAATCAAAACTAACACACTATGAGCAAAGAGGAAAATTATACCATGGCCTTGGGAACTGAGCCTCTCTAAATGGAAAAAAATAATGACCTTTTTTAAGTTTAATCTTGGTGTCAGGTCACTCCCATGCCCTATCCTTCTCTCTCCCCTAAGCAGCCCATTAAATGGGACATTGAATAAATCTTGACCTCATTTCTCAAAACTCATGTTTGTTTGAATCAAATACTAAATATTTATATCATAACAGTGAAGAAAGTACTTTTTTTTGTGACTCTAAAGAACATATTGGTCAATTAAGGAGTTCTATTTAGTTGCTATTGAAAATAAAAATTTCATCAGACAAAATATTCAGAAATAGAATAATAATTGTTCCAAACTCTGTAAATATTTCCCACCTTCTACAATAAGCTCGACCTTCGTGTGGAGCATGACTCTGTCTCTCTTGAACACTCTACTCACTTGCAGTATGCCTCCACCCCAAAGATGTCCTAATCCCTGGAACCTGTGAATATTACCTTACATGACAAAAAGATGTGATAAAGTCATGGATCTTAAACTGTCATTATCCTGGATTATCCAAGTGAGCCCAGTGTAATCACAAAGAAACAGCATCAAATCAGTAGTAAGAGATGTGACAATGGAAACAAGAGGTTGGAATAATACAAGGAAAAGACAAGGATCAAAGAATGCATGCAGCCTCTAGAAGCTGAAAAAAAGCAAAACAAATTTCTCTCTTAAAGCCTCCAGAGGAAATGAACTCTTGCCAACAAGAGTTTAGACTCTGACCTCAGAACTAAGAGAATACATTTGTGTTGTTTTTAAGCCACTAAATTTGCGGTAATTTGTTTCAGCAGCAATGGGAAACTAATGTACGGGTTTTAGACTCTGACCACAGAACTGTAAGAGAATACATTTGTGTTGTTTTAAGCCACTAAGTTTCTGGTAATTTGTTTCAGCAGCAATGGGAAACTAATGTATCGAGAGAGAAAAAATAAGCCTTTCTTTCAAGACAGTTGTACAACCACATCCAGGTTGACTTCAGCTATATTTTTGACATGGGAACTCTAATGTAACTAACCCTCAATTGTATCCCCTTCATCACCTTCCACATAAACCATTTTCAGTGTCGACACACACATCTGACAAAAATCTGTAATAAATTGGAAAGAAGCAATGTTATAGACTACATAAAATGTAATTGAATTAATAAAATCTGGCCACAAACACAACACAACCTAATTGGCAAACAAGTTGTTTGTGGTATAAAAAAATCCTTCAGAACTGTAGGCATTCTAACAATTCATGCTAAATTTTGAATTTCATGATTCTGATGGCAGATAATTCACAAGGAGACTGGGGAAGACTGGATGAAATTGGTGTAGTTCTTTAATTATTCAAGATAGATTGCTAGAAAAATTTAGTCTAACCCTAGTTAAGTCTTACGTTTATGGAAACCATTGAGAGACATTGTAAACCTTTAACTTCATTGTCCAAGAAATCATTTACATTACATTGTTTGGTTCATATTAAAATAGACTCAGCATCATGAAGATATGCTCTATATTTTTTCCACATTCCTGGGATTTTGATATTCAGTCTTTATTAATCCTCAAAATATTGAAATTCCTAAAAATTGGCATTACATTTCTCAAATTTTTGATCTCAATATCCATTATACCTCAAATATAACTATCAAAAAAATTTTGAAAACTAGTGTTCAACCTCTATTCAAGAACTCATATTTAAAATATATTTAGTACTCTTATGATACAATTCAGCTACTATACACTATACTAGTATCATGACTCCAGCCACATATTTTTATAGATAACATACATTTTTACTATGCCAAAAATTTAAAGATATTCTAGAAAAATCTGGGGTAATTTTTATCTGTCTTTCTAGCTTTAATTTTGTAATCTTCTTGTTCACCATTAAGAAAATGTATAGGTATCATAAGATTGGGAGACATAGGAGTTCTGGCCAGTCAGAGTGAAGAGAAATAGAATAAACAATCCTAAAATATGTGTGGAACCAAAAAAGACCTCACATAGTCAAAGTGATCTTGAGAAAGAAAAACAAAACTGGAGGCATCACAATTCCTGATTTCAAACTATAATACAAAGTTATAGTAATCAAAACAGTATGGTATTGGCATAAATACAGAAATATAGATCAATGGAACAGAATAGAGAGCTCAGAAACAAACCCACAAATACGGCCAATTAATTGAAGAAAAGAAGCCAAGATATACAATGAAAAAGGACAGTTTCTTCAGTAAGTGGTGTTGGGAAAACTGGACAGCCACATGCAAAACAATGAAACTAGACCGATATCTTATACTGTACACAAAAATTAACTCAAATGGAGTAAAGACTTAAATGTAAGACCTGAAACCATAACACACTTAGAAGAAAGCATAGGCAATAAATCCTTGACATCGGCCTTGGCAATGATTTTTCATATTTGAAATCAAAAGCATAGGCAATAAAAGCAAAAATAAACAAGTGAGACTGCATCAAACTAAAAGCTTTTTGCACAGCAAAGAAAACTGTCAACAGGCAATCAACTAATGGGAGAAAATATCTGCCAATCATATATCTAGTAAGGATTTAATATCCAATGTATGTAGAGAACTCATACAACTTAATACCAAAATGAAAACAATCGTTTAAAACATGCATAGAGACATTTCTCCAAAGAGGACATAAAGATGGCCATGAAGTATATGAAAGGTGCTCAACATAACTAATCACCATGGCAATACAAATCAAACCACAATGAGATATCACCTCGCACTTGTTAGAATGGTCATTACCAAAAAAGACTAGAAATAACAACTGTTGGTGGAGATGTGGAGAAAAGAAAACCCTTGTATGCTGTTGTAGGGAATGTAAATTGGTGTAGCCACTAGTAAAAAACAGTATGAAAGTTTCTAAAAAAATTAAAAATAGAACCACCACGTGACCCATCAAGTTCATTTCTGGGTATTTATCTGAAGGAAACAAAAACTAACTTGAAAAGATTTATGCAACCCCATATTCACTGCTGTATTATTTGCAATAGCCAAGGCATGGAAACAAGCTATGTGTGTAGCAATGGAAGAATGGATAAAGAAAATGTTTTATACACATATAACTAGATAGATGATAGACACATACATACATACAATGGAATATTTTAGCCATAAAAAAGAATGAAATCTTGCTATTTGCAACAGCACAGATGAACCTCAATGGCATTAGGCGAAGTGAAAAAGTCAGAGAAAGATAAGTACTACGTGATTTCACTTATATGTGGAATCTAAAACAAACCAACCAACAAGGAAACTGAACTCATAGATACAAAGAACAGTTTGCCAGAAGCTTAGTATGGGGAGTAGGCGATGGGTTAAGGGAGTCAAAAGGTACAAATCTCAAGTTATAAAATAAGTATGTCCTGAGGATGTAATGCACAGCATGGTGACTATGTTAATAATACTCTATTGTACATTTTAAAGTTGCTAAGAGAGTAGATTTTAAAAGTTTCATCACAAGAAAAAAATATATAACTATATGTGATAATGAATAGTAACTAAGCTACTATGGTAATCATTTCTCAATACAGTAAATACAAGTGTCAAATCAATATGTTGTACATCTGAAACTAACATAATGTTATATTTCAATTATATCTCAATAAAATTTTTAAATTTGAAAAAATGCTATTTAAAATAACATGAGATGAAGACTATGTTGAACAAAAATATTCATAACTATTAGGGAAA